GCTCAAAATTGCTTAAATCACCTTTCTTTCCCATTCTGACATTCAGTTTGGAGTTCAGGGGATCTTGGTTTTGGATCTTCTCTTGGTTTAACTTTTAAAATATAGTTTTTTTTATAAAGCACATTAAATAACCCCTGTATATGATAATAAAAACTTGCCTTGCCTTACCTTACCATAAGGAGACCGAGAAACGTTCTCCTCAAGACCACACGAACAACTAAAAACTATATGCTGGAAACTAAGACATTCACAAGGTAACTCCATGAAAAGCTCTGTAAAAGTAGAAATGTGTTTATTTTGTGGTAAGATAACGTGAGCCAACTGGCTAGTAGTTGCCTTAACTGAAAGAATTCACTCCAATCATCAGAGAAAAAAAGTTACTAACGCACTACAACAAAACATTCAATAACATTAACAATAACATTCAATGAACAATAATGTATGGCATGAAATCAACTTGTAACTATATCATTCAGTAATACAAATAATAAAACAACATACCGTTCACATTGGCCTCAAGAACTAAGTTAGCGCTTGATTCCCCTGCACTTCCTGTTGTGGCTGAAGGTGCACCTGACATCAGTGGCTGAGCGTGCACCTGACGTCAGTGGCTGAGCGTGCACCTGACGTCAGTGGCTGAAAGTGCACGTTCTGCAGCCAGACTAGTTTTACAGCGCTTTACTATTATTTTCTGCGGACAACGCTCCTTGGGAATGAACGAAGGTAAGAATTTTAGGACATGGGTAAATCTCATTTAAGACCTAGGATGGAAATCTGGGCATTTTTAAGACATTTTAAGGCCTTAAATTTAACTTTCTGAATTTTAGACTTTTTAAGGCTTTTTAAGACCCCGCGGGAACCCTGTAGACTAAAACCTACTGTATACTCGGAAGAGAAATATCAATTCCATGCACTCATAGCGAAGCAAAAGTTGCAAAGGCAATTGCTGACATAATTATGTACAAGTGTCTTTGTCAAAAGCAAGAATAACCCAGGTTTCCCCAGGAATTCCAGGTATCTTATAATCACTTATCCTGGATGGGTGGGGGGTGGGGGTGAAATCTACCCCAAGCACATCACAAGGCACATACATTATAGGCAATTCACACTTATTTATTTGGCACGTGCTTTTATTCACAATTACATCCAATTGAGAAAGCAGGTTCAGCCAGTGCCTGGAGCAACTGACACAAATACATTAAGCTAACTGCTGCCAACAACTCTTACATAAAACTGGCCTACAGTTCATCTAAAATGCTGCTTTTCACACTCCGCTGCCACTCACGAGCAGCCGAAACACACACATTTCCTTGAACCAGTCAGTCCCAGGTCACTACTGACATAGATAAGTAAGTAGCTTGTAGTTTTAACTGTCCTTTTCTCACTCATACAGTACATGTGAAAGAAGTTTGGGCTGCCAGTTGTGCCCCCCCCCCCGGCCAGCACATTTTCAACTGGCAATGCCAACTGTTTCAGAACTATATGAAGGGTTATCATATGCTCTTAGATATGCCCAGCTGGATGTGCAATCTTTTGGGGTGTGAAATCAATCCTCCTGAGACTGAACATCAGCAAGATGTGCTGTGATTAATCACAAGTTCTATACATAGCATTTAAAACAACCTCGGCAGATAAGGTTTATTTTCCCTAAAAGATAGAAACATTGTTTGTTGATATTTCATAGGGGCTTTGCCATAAAATATTTTATCTGTGAAAATTTACAGTATCTCTGTTCCAAGTTATTATTGCATTTTTTATAATATATATAAAAGTCACTCTGCTGTTACAGTCATGGATATACGGTAAATGCCTTTTTTGGTTTATAAAAACAGTGCCTCAGAATACAGAACTTGACCTAGATCGTGAGCCAACTTAAATATGTTATAAATTGAGTAGTTAGAAAACCAGATGGTGATGCATATTACATCATCCAATAAGAAATCTCATATTTTAACTTGAAAGCAGACCATGCAACTCGTAAAACAGATTTCTGGAAAGCACTTCAGCAGCTCTCAACTTAAGGTTTCTTTTTTAAATGCAATCACTAAAGTACCAAAAAGTAGCAGACATGCAGGCAAAGTGGTGTTGATGAGGGACAGACACGTTAGAGTAATGGAAGCTGCAGGGTTTGTATGCACAGTACTGGCTGGGGCATCTGCTGTTGGGCTCCGTTCATAAAACCATCTACACAACAGGGACTAAGGTGTGATCTGACTCACTGTACATTGATGAAGTTGCCTTCTAGGGTCTAACACTTACCTTTTCACATTTCCCATTAAAGTACCATTCAAAGGTTGGCACATTAATGCCAGTATTAGTTTCACCAGAAAAAAAGGCAAATGACTATCAAAGTTTTTTGACCTGAGAGCCTATAAACAAGCAAAGTAGTTTAAAGCAAGTCATCCTATCGGACTGAATTCCAGTTATGCAAATACTGTATTCCTGTTCAAAAGTGTTATTATGATACTTTTTAAAACTGGTATTACACTTGTAAATCATAAACCATCAAGTGATCATTTAAAGACTGAAAATGAAGTAGCACCCAGACATTAGTGTGAATGTGTTCATTGACTGCAGGTGTCCATAGAAAGATCTCCATGGGCGTCTCAATTAGCCCAGTCAAGGACTAACTGTTCACGCAGTACAGGTTAGCTAAGGGCAGGGTTATTAATAGTGGCGTTTACAATGGTTAGAATGCTCCTTAATTATTGCATGTGTAAAAAGGTATAAGTATTTATTACCTGGGAAAATATCATATCTGATATACAAAAAAATCCTATATGTGAATTAATTATATATGGTGTAAATGTAAAATTGAGACAAAAGTTGCATTGTGTAAGTGACATGCAAAGTTTACCAATTTTTTTGTTTATAGAAAAATGAAATGGGATTCAAATGGTGAATTCACAGTACCAATAAGGTTCTTCTGTAAATATTCCATGTGCATTTCGTCCACGTACCTTGACCGCACGCCCCTCTTTGTATGAAGATGACAGGCGGCTGCTGCAGTCTCTGGGCCCGGTTCGCCACTCTCCTCAGTTCGCAGACGTTTCGGTACGTGACTCCGTCGCTGCCGCACACCCGCTCCGGGCTCTGACACACGCACACGCCGCTTTTTCCTCTCCTCCTCACCGTGGCGGAAAAGCCTACTCCGTCCGACACCAGGCACACCATGCCCTCCCCGCACCTCCCGGTGCCGCCGCAAGCCTCGCCCTCTCCGGCGGCACACGCCGGACAGCAGCTGCACTGGTCGAGGACCTCGCCGGCATAACAGTCAGCGGGCAGAGGGACGCATAAGGACTTATCGCAGGGATCAGGACAGCCCATAATATAGGGATCAGCTTGGGCCGGTAAAGGTGTAAAAAAGAAAGTTGCTATAATTACCCAAAGCATGCTTCAGTGCAGAATAAGTATAAAATCAGTAAAATAATAAATGTTAAAAAATAAGGTATAAGAAAAACAACTAAGTATCAAACTACCTTCCCCAAACTTCTAAATCTGACCTTATTTTAATATAAACCGCTTAAAACAAACTATAGGTGCTCCTACGCTGAGCTAGTATTACTATGCAATACAATACATAAATTAAAGAAGAAAGTCACTTAACTCCTAGTCTGCTTTGTTATTAGACAGCCCGTATCTCTCTGCTCGTAGTCGCTATTATGGGATTTGTTTTCTAATACATATATAAAACCAGTCAGTTCCACATGACCAGTTAAGAGTTAGCAAGTGATGGAAACAAGACTTATGATTGGCGGAGCAGTGTGACGTAGTATCGGAGGGCGTGTCCTCAAAACGTTTGTCTATTGCAGTGAGACTACCCTGCCCAACTTCATATTTAAGTTAAACTTTTATAACTATACTGAAGAAAATGAAAGTTCAAAAATACTAATGGCGCTGGTTAATTGTTTGTCCTTGAATGTTAGAATGTTTGTATTTTGTGGTCTTTCAGAAACAACGTACCATTGTTTGCCAGACTATTAGGATTGTTCTAATTGTTATTCAGATGTTCTGCTTTACAAAGCGATGAACAGGGTAAAAGCTGTTTAATTTGTAGTCGCACGTTTTAGTCCTTTTTGTACAATATGTGTTGTCGTTTGTGAATAGAGAAACATACTGTATGTAACTTTGTTAGCGCTAAATGTCAATAACCATCAGAATATTAAACGCATATAGTTCATTATCTTGAGGGGATTGGCATAAAGAACAGGCACATAATTCCAGACCCTACATCATCATTGGAAGTGAACCACACAGACACAGTTGACTGTATTTGTTGGCGGCTGCCGGACATTTAGATGCCAGCAAGTCATACCAGTCAGTCAGTTATGCTTTGTTTTATCGCACCAGCAACAAACAGCTATAGCTTGTCCTTAATTGGGAAATTCTGGTGCAGCGTTTGAAAGATCTGCAATCCGCTGTGCTGTGATGCAGAGTCAGCAGATTTGCTTGCATTGGTACAGGTTAAAACTGCCGGTCACATCTCATCTGTGTAGCAGTATTTTATTGTAAAGGTCCGTAAAACCGATCCATGACAGCACTGTTTAGTTGTATTAATTTAATCGGCATACTGCCAAGTCACGTCTATTTATACTTCTTAGTACCGAACAATATTTTACTTATTACACTTACAGCTTTTAGTACCGGACTAATGTTCCCTGTAAGACACTCTCAAAATAACAGAAGTAAAAATGAAGTGAACATGCTGTATAAGTAACTAAACATAATAAGTGAACATTTCTATTTCAAGTCCCTTCTGTGTTTGTATACATGTGATAAAACTTGCAGGTTGTGCCACTCATAAATATTAAATTGAAACGGCAAGTGGTTATTAATTTGAAAATTATGCCGCAGGAGATGAAAATCATGCATACAATATTTTGAAATTACAGAAAATTACTCATAAAAGTTACAGCATTGGTATATATATATGTATGTATGTATATACACACACATATATACATACACACACACACACACACACACACACACACACACATACATACACACACACACACACACAATCTAAGCAATCACTGTAGTCGGTTATTTCCCAAATGTTACTTATGTACATGACCACATGACTGTTTCAATTAATCACTTAACCCAATTTATTTTTCACCTCTGTAGAGGACATTGTGTTTTTCCTCATATCTTGATTTGACTGGCGTGTGTAGTATGATTTTTTTTATTTTATCATCCTAGGAGGACATAGGGGTAAAGCAGGTTTTCAATGTTTTAGCAAGCTTGACAACAAATATATACATAAAGCTCATGCCTTTTAATAAACCAGTTTCTGTATAAAGGGGTAATATTATATTAACATTTACAATGTTACAATGCATACAGCATATCAGACCAAGCAGCTTTTGCTTATAACTGTCAACAGATCCAATTGATATTTATGGAACAAATTTCTAAGTATTCACTTCTTGATTCTTTGAATTAAAATCACAAGTAATATTTACAATGGGTACGTCCTACAAAGGGCTGTTGTAGTACCCTTGAGCAATATACTGAACATGATGCAGTCCAGTTAAGTACATTTAAATTATTTATTTATTTATTTGCAAGAGGCTTTTATCCAAATAAATGTTCAACTGAGAAAGAAGTGTCTGACAGTCCCTGGAGCAACTGTGGTTCAGTGCTTCGCTCGAGGGCCTGACTTGTAAAATCATTGTGCTGATCCTAGGATTTGAACTGGTAAACTTCCAAACACAGGCAGTATCCTAACCCACTGATCCACACACTGTGTAAATGCCCAGCTATATAAAGGGGTAATAATATGTAATCTTTTCAGAAATGATAAGTACACCTCATGACAGCAAACATCTCCACATCTTTCCAACCTAAGAATGATCACCCCAGGTATCGCAAATTCCAGTTCAACCCACAAACATAGCATATTTCAGCTCAGCAGAAAAGCGACTTCAAAAATCCACAAATAAAAATTATGTTCACCCATCATTGATTTTTACGGTAAAGTATAAAGACAAAATGAACAAACATGGCTTGAATTAGCTGTAAAGAGTAAGCAAGGTATCAGTGAGTCAATTCATACCAAAACAAAGTAGCCTACTTTTTGTAAGGTACTTGCATTTAGTAACTGGGACATCAAATAGAGGGGTAAGGAGCGTGCACTGATACACATTTATATGACATCAAATAGGACATCCTTATATTATTTAATTCTGTAAATGTATAAAATAGAACATTTTTACAATGTCAATACTGAAGTTTTTCAAACCCCAGTTTTATAGCAGCATGTCAAAACTCTGTGATGTTAACATATCTGTAGAGGGCAGTATAGTCCTTTACAATAGATTGTACATAAATTCATTTGGAGCTCAAGGTAATGTAAGACATGCAAACCCAATTTTAAAGTATATTTGTCCATTTTTGTGTTGACTAAAATGTGTTGAAATCTAAATAGTTTTATCCAAAGATTTAAAATATTATTTTATGTATTATGCCTGCTTGCTAGGAGCTACTACTGTTTTACCCTGGAAATGCGACCCTTTGGAGAAGAGTCAGATCAACTGAACAGACAAAAAAAACTGTACAAAAGGAAGTATTTACTACCTTGGGTTAAAAAAGCAAGACACCACAGCAGGTCTGTCAGAGAGCTATTACATTAAACAGAGTTTTAATTAATTACTTTTCCAAAGAAAATTCTTCAGGGTCCAGGAGTGATAACCGCAGTTCACATGGATATCATTTACTATGACACTATATGATTAACCATGTCAGATTACATTGTGGGAGTTGCTTCATATGACGAATACTTCCTGCTTTTGTCATAGTCCATCCATCGTTCAATCCATCCATCCATCATCCATCCATCCATACCTAGCCTAGCCTAGCCTAGCCCCAAAACGAAAGTATTTCAAGACAATGATCCGACTAAAACATGTCGTTGGACTTGTGAAAGGAAGCTGAAATGCTTAATGATGAACATAGGAACAAAGGGAAATTATACACATTGTGTAAGTGTGGAGGTCTAATAAAAACATGGAAAAGAATAAGTGACCTAAACGACATCCACTGATTATGTCAGCACTTACAGCAGAATAATAAGAGTCATTTGGTTTTTAGTATTCTTTTCATGGCAGGACCACATTTTAAAATGGTACTTTTCACACCAAGTAATAAATACAGAACACAATTAAAACACTAATTTAAAAAGACAGCTTTTGTATAGATATAATCCAGGTTCATTGTTTTAACAGGTGACTCATTGTTACAGTAGAAATGCTGTATGGCTGCTGTTATCTGTGGTATTTAACTGTACAGGGACTGCAGATCTCAAAATGAGATACACCATAAGATATATGCAAGAGAGCAATGGATCTCACACAGCTTTAATACAACACACTGATGCAAAGAGCTGGAATAGTGCCCTCAGTCAGGAAATCCTCATTAAATATGCCAGTTGTGGCAGTTTTGGTGGTGCATTACATGAAATTTCATTCAGATATATAAACATGAATTAATCCATTATTCAGAAAACACAGTTTCTACAAATTTTCCTTCTATGCTTGGGATTTAGTAACATTAAAAATACTATAAAGTGAATCTGTAAAACAATATATAATTATGCACAAGAAAATGCATGTTTTTTTCCCCCACTTGTCCACAGGACTGGAATTTCCCTTTAAATTTTCGGTATGAAAAACATACCAGCTGACTCTTCCATACTGTCACCCCCACTACAGCCAGACTCTTCTTTCTTCCATCCCAGGCTTCTTCAAGTTCACTTGAATTCACCTGCCTCAGCTCCATGCACCTCAAGCCTACATACCTTGTCCCTCTATTTTGATTTTCATGGGACAAGCTTTACTCTCTTGCCCGGTCTTAGCTTGATATCAGGTTCTCAGAGGATGCCCCCCACTCCACCACATTGCGGGGGGGTCGGTGGGTAGTGGAAGAGAGACAGTAGAGACAAATTACTTTGAGGGACATCAGTATCTTAGACCTGGCTGACTGGCAGGTCGGCATCATCTAGGTCAAGGCTTGGGGGGCCTGGGGGGCACGGGGGGCCTTCTCCGAAGCTGCTCCGGCGCCTCCAAGGAGAAGCCGTGCTCATTTGGACAGCCGTGTCTCTTGGAGGGACAGACGTGCGGCTCTCGGCGCCCCCTGCTGGCTGGGCCGGGGCAGCAGACTCATGAAGTGCTCGCTGTCCCAGGTCAGGCTGTGAGCAGACAGGGCGCGCGCTCGCGGCCCCAGCGGGCTGGGCGACGCAGCGCCGAGGGGAGAACGGCACTGACGCGGGGGTCGAGATGGGGGCAGGAAGCCTCTGGTGGTTGCGGTAGAATGAGGAGATTGAGGAACGGTCGCTGGGCTCCTGTAACGAGTGGGTTGTTCCCAGAGATAAATACACAGTCAGATACAATACAGATCACTGGAGCGGTGCAGAAGTACAAGGAGCAGTAGTGCAAGTAATAGTGAAGGAAGTAGAGGTGGTAATGCTCAGTTTGTAAATGTTAGTATTTCAGTGTCCGATTTTACTCTGAAAAACAAAAAAAGAGAATGCAGAAGCATTAGCAAAACCGGAACCCGAATGCTGAACCAAGCCATTTAGGTGGGCGGCTGCACAAAGAGCCACCTAACATTAGTGGTCAATTTAATTATTAGGAATTAATCCACATTCGCGATTAGTATAAGGGTTGTTGATTTGCATTTAAAAAAAAAAAA